CAATAATGGACCTATGCAGAATTTCTCCTTTTGTGACTGACTAATTTCACTCAGCATAATGTCCTCAAGGTTCATCCATGCCATGCAGTGGCTTGCAGCTTCCTTGTTGTTCTTCAAGGTAGCATAATATTCCATTGTGTGTATGTACCACAGTTTGTTTATCCATTCTTCCATTGATAGGCACTTAGGCTGCCTCCATCTTTTTGCTATTGTAAATAGTGCTGCTATGAATAGTGGTGTGCATTTCCAGCCTGCCTTTAATATTTTGCTTTGAGGCAAGTTATGCCCTTTTAGTCTCATTGTTCTGAGGAGCACGTTTTTCCTGCACATTACAGTTCACTCTATAAGCCTGTCTCTTAGGTGGCTGAAAAGTGATTACTGGGTCTCTAGAATTTTCAAGCTATGACCTTTCAGAATCATTGCCAGGCCTTTCGTCTGAGTCAGCCTTTGGGTGAGTTTGAATTGCCAACCTTACAGATAGTTTAAGTGCTTAACCATTTGAGCACTCAGGAACTCTGTTCCCCTAGTAATTATCTCCATATACACACAGATGCACACACAAACACACATATATGTGTATACATATGCATTTGTGTATGTTGCAGAATATTTATGTGGACTCCTGGTGTGGATAAACACTGGACTACTGACCACAAGGTTGGCACTTCAAACTCACCAGCTGCTCCTCAGAAACCCTTTAGAGGGTCACTGTGAGTCAAAATTAACTCTTTAGCACTTAGCAGCATCACCAAATGTTACGGAGCAGTTAACAGTTTATGTGTCTTTTTATCTCAGTTAAGCCTGTGCCCCTTGAGAAAATTGAGCACATTTGTTCTTTATCTTTAATTAACAAATTAATTGGCAAAGTAAATATTATTTGATAAAAGATGAATAAAGGGAAATAACGTTTGCTCTCATTAGGAATTTCGGGAGCTCCTGCAGTACCAGGATAACTCAGACAGAACCCTTGAAGCACATGAAATGTTGCTGGAGAAACTTCGGCAGCGGATCCAGGATAGGGACGCTGCTTTAGAGGTATGGGCCATAACTTAGTTCACTATGCTCTGAATTCTGGTACTATAGGGACTTGTGTGTCTACTTCATTCACTATTTTGTGGGGTTGGTTTTCCATTCCTTTCTATTTTGACTTATTGGGAAAAGGTGTGCTGGATAGTAATTCTTGTGGAGCTTTAGAAGCTTTACTTTTCTTTGCAGCGGGCTATCGATGAAAAGTTCTCTGCTCTAGAAGAAAAAGAAAAAGAACTGCGTCAGCTTCATCTTGCTCTGAGAGAACGAGATCATGACTTAGAAAGACTGCGTGGTGTCCTCTCCTCCAATGAAGCTACCATACAGGTAAGAGACTTATAGCGACCTTACAGGGCAGAGTAGAATGGCCCCAGAGAGCTACCTGGGTTGTCATCCTATGGATGCAGCCTGCCCCAGCTTTCTCCTGCAGAGCAACTGGGGGCTCCAAGCCGCTGACTTTGTGGTTTGCAGTTGACCCATTTAACTACGGTGCCTCCAGAACTCCTGATAACAACATAGACAAATACAAAAGATAGTATAAATGTAAAGAAAAGAAAAATAAGACAAAAGCAATCAGAAACCACAGTCATTAGTCCCATCATTGTAGATTGTTGTTGTTAAGTGCCATTGTGTCAGTTCTGACCCATAGCGACCCTGTACAGGGTTTCCAAGGATGTAAATCTTTACGGGAGTAGAAAGCCTCATCTTTCTCCCACGGAGCGGCTGGTAGTTTCGAACCGCTGACCTTAAGGTTCGCAGCCCGATTTGTAACCACTACGCTACCAGAGCTCCTTTAGGAAGTGAGATATTATAGAACTTCTACTTTCTTATATACTATGAACTTTGTGTTGGTGGGGGAAAGGCTGTGAATACTGATTTCTATTTCTATTGTGGTTATTGTCGTTAAGTGCCATCGAGTTGGTTCCAACTCAAGGCGACCCTGTATAGAGGTTCCGAGGAGTGGCTGGTGGGTTTGAACCACCGATCTTGTTGTTAGCATTCCAGTGCTGATCCTACAGTGCCACACCAGGACTCCTTCTATTTACCTAGTTCTAATTTATTTCTGGAGTCCTGGTGTAGCACTGTGGGCTAATGCATCAGATTGCAAAGTTGTTTGAACTGCAAGGTCGGTGGCTCAAGCTCATCAGCTGCTCCTTGGAAACCCTATACAGGGTCGCTATGGGTCGGAATCGACTCAATGGTACTTAACAAAAAGATTAAGGGACTCCTGGTATGCTGCTATAGGATCAGCACTGGACTGTGAACCACAAGGTCAGCAGTTCAAACCCACCAGCTGCTCCTCGGAATCCCTACACAGGGTCGCTAAGAGTTGAAACTAATTCGACGGCGCTTAGCAACAGCAACAATTTATTTTTAAGGAACTCTGGTAGCGTAGTGGTTATGAATCGGGTGCTAATCTCATGGTCAGCAGTTCGAAACTACAGCTGTTCCATGGGAGAAAGATGAGGCTTTCTGCTCCCATAAAGATTTATAGCCTCAAAAACCCTGTGCAGGTTTGCTATGAGTCGGAACGGACTCCACGGCACATAACAACAACAGTTTATTTCTGGAGTCCTGGTGTGGCACTGTAGGATCAGCACTGGACTGGAAGATCAGTTAGAACCACAAGGTCAGTGGCTCAAACTCACCGGCTGCTCCTTGGAAGCCCTATACGAGGTTGCTATGAGTTAGACCTGACCCTGTTTCTGAGGCTATAAAATCTTTCTCCTGTGGAACAGCTGCTAGATTTGAACTGCCGACCTTTTGGTTAACAGCCCCACATGTAACCACTACACTACTAGGACTCCTAGCATCAGAGTACAAATTTTTTTTTTACTAAATCTTGGCCCATGGAGCGCCTTGCAGGCTTGAATCATATACCTTGTGGTTTGCAGTCCAGTGCTTATTGTATAGAGCCACCGAGTTCTTAGAAGATGATTTAAAGGTGGGTCAGTTATCTTGTTTACCCTGAGGAGTTAGGTTGAACCTTTGTCTTGCTTTCTTTGTGACTGTAGAGTATGGAGAGTCTCCTGAGGGCCAAGGGCCTAGAAGTGGAACAGTTATCTGCTACCTGTCAAAATCTCCAGTGGCTGAAAGAAGAAATGGAAACCAAATTTAGCCATTGGCAGAAGGAGCAAGAAAGTATTGTTCAGCAGTTACAGACATCTCTGCATGACAGAAACAAGGAAGTGGAGGCAAGACTTTAGTGAATTTAAAGACAGTTGGTTTAGAGATTACATAATCTCAGTTTTGGATTAGGATGTTTGAGGTCTGGGAGGCCAGTGAACCTAGCCTCCCAAACCTTTCATTTTCTTCTGTGCCTAGGAAAGCCATTGACTTTCACTCAGACTTTTCTCAAGCCTTCAAATTTAAGGTAGTAATTATCCTTCTCAAAGAAGTGCTGTGAGAATTAATGAGATCTACAACATAATAACTAACCTTTATGAGAGCTTCTGGTGTGTCAGGCAATGTTTGAAGGTCTCAGTGGTCATTAATTCATTGAATCCTCACTATTCACTGAGGTACACATACTGTTGTAGTCCTTGTTTTACAGACCAGGAAATGTCTGAGGCTAAGTAAATTGCCCAAGCTGACACGGTTAAAAAGTGGCAGAGTCAGTATTCGCCCTAGACAGTGTGGCTCTACAGTTTTAACACCATGCTCTGCCTCTCAATATAGAACCAGGAACTGCAGCACCAAGTTTATAAATACAGTGTTCATTTTATTGTTTTATGTTCACTCTACATAGTTACACTGGGGAGAAAATAAATGAATTAAATGAACTGAGTATCTTTGGATCCTCATTTAATATTAACTGCAGTATGCTCTGGGGCCGAGTGTGGCATTGTAGGCTAAGTACTGGACTATGAATCATCACAAGATCAGTAGTTCAAACCCACCAGACGTTCTTTGGAAGCCCTCTACAGGGTCGTTATGAGTCGGAGCCTTCTCAAGGGCAGTTAACAGCAACAACAGCTATATGCTCTGAGCAAACGGAGGAAAGGACTGTTTCAGAACTCAGTAGTTAAGTTACCACTGTGTGTTACTATGTGAGGTCATCCACTGAATGTGCTTTTACAGCCTTCTATGAGCCAGTTCCTGTACTGTTGTTGGTAATGTTAAGTGCCGTCAAGTTAGTTCCAACTCATGGCAACTCTGTGTAGGGTTTTTGAGGAGCGGTTGGTGAGTTTGAACCACCTACAGCATCACTCCAGGCCTCTTGTATTAGAGCCGGGATCCACAAATGTCATAGCTCAGTGAAATCAGTTCTCTCTTTCTCCTATGAGAGAGAGTCTTAGAAGGCCTTTGATAAGTGGTAGAGCTAACTCCTTCTTCCAGAAACTTATCCCGTCTCTTCTGTGTTAGGATCTTAGCGCGACACTACTCTGCAAGCTTGGACCAGGGCAAAGTGAAATAGCCGAGGAACTGTGCCAGCGTCTACATCGAAAGGAAAGGATGCTACAGGACCTTCTGAGTGATCGCAACAAGCAAGCTGTGGAACATGAAATGGAGACTCAGGGCCTGCTTCAGTCTATGAGCACCAGGGAGCAGGAGAGCCAAGTAAGGACTTGAGCAGAGATCAGAAAGAGCAGTTACTGTAGGCACAGGCTTGGAAGTAGGGAGCTTTTGAACCTCATACAACTTGTACATTTATATCCTTTTAAATAAGCTCAATTAGATTTATTTTCTTCAATTGATTAGCTTGACTGCTATTTGCATCAGTTATTAAAGTATGATACATTTGTAGAAACCGTTTGCATTTGCATGAACACCTAAACAATATATATACCAGGGTGCACATACTCTTTTCTTTAATGTTTTGATCATTTTGACAGAAAGGAGCATGGCTTTGTTGAAGGTTTTCATTTGGATTCTAAAATACCAAGACTTGAGTAATATTTTGCATTTGTAGCCAATGCATGCTAAAACTTATACTTGACATGTTTTCTCTTAAATCTTATAAAATCTAAGTTGTTTTCAGAGTGTAAAGACGATTGTGATTTTTCAAAGGCCATAATGAGAAATGAATAACCTCAGAATAATATGGGATATATTAGTTTAGAATCATGATATTTTTTCTAAGTATGTCTGAAGTAAATTCTTATTCTAACTTCCATGTATCTTTCTCCTTGCAGCTAGAAACTGTTGTAGTTGATTTCATGCTGCATTTTGAGGACCAGTAACTCAGAATCAAGCTAGTTTTCAGAGGGGACTAGATTCTTATCATTAGCCCTCATTGTTTGACCATAATATTCTCTAATGCTTCCTTATTTTATGGGATGGTTATATTCCACTTTTCTAATTCTCAGACCCACTGATGTGGATTCACATTTTGTTAGAATCTGCGGATGTGTTCTCCAGAAATAGACCTAACAAAATACCTCAGAGAGAAATAGTGTATACTGTAGGAAGCAAAAATAACGGATCTCAGAGATGGTGACAATGAAAAAAAATATATATGTTAATATTTTTCTAGCTTAAGAAGAAGAGTAATGCTTGTATTCTTTCAGATCTGCTTCTTAAAAGATTCACTTGGATAGCTTCTTATAGACAGATTCTTGAGCTCGTCACTGTAGATAGAATTGGGAGGTCTAAGGTGGAACGTGAGAATTAGCATGTTGAAGATGTTAATGCTTCTGGTCCATCATCCACAGTTTGAGGAGCACTGCTGGATTTGTTACTTGTTAGGAAATGAGTACCAAGGCAGATGACCACAGATCTTAGTTTGTATGTTGTTACGTTTTTTTCCCCATGATAATTTTCACAGCGATATTTATTAAGGCAATCCAGTAATGTACTAATAAATGGTTTTGCCCATATCTCTGAAGGACCCAAATTCTACTCACTGAAAAATGATTTTTTTTAAATTATTATTATTCCCCTTAGAAATCATGACAATACTTAGTGTCTCTTCTAAAGTGTAGTGGTTACAAATCGGGTGGCTAATCTTATGGTCAACAGTTGGAAACTACCAGCAGTTCCATGGGAGAAAGATGAGGCTTTCTGCTCTCGTAAAGATTTACAGCCTCGGAAACCCTGTACAGGGTCACTATGAGTCAGAACCGACTCCACGGCACATAACAACAACAGCAATGCTTCCCAGGAACAGTTGTTGCTAGTTCCCATTCTGATTTAATGTCTGCAGTAATTTTAGTCTTAATTAATTATCTTCAGGTTTTTGAATTAAATGCCAGCTTCCTAGGCAGGCAGTCATTTGCACAAGTAGTTTTCTAGCTCTCTCCTTTCTTGTGCCATCTGTCTAGGAAAACTGGAATTGAATTGAAGCAAACTGGATTTGGTGGTTTTGGGTTCAGATTCTTCATTCAATAAGTATGTATTGAATGTCTACTATGTGCCAGACATTGTTATGGGTGCTTAGGATTCAGCAGTGAACAAAACATCACAGTTCCTGCCTTTAGGAAATTTACATTCCAGGTTGAGGAAAGAGAGACAATAAACAGACATATCAGATAATAATTAAGTGGAAAACACTAAAACACAGCAAGGAGAGGTAGGGATAGACAAGAGCTTGCTGTTTTAGATAGGATATACAGAGAAGGCCACTCGGATACGGTGACATTTGGCGAAGACCTGAATGGGGAAGTGGAATATTTGATAAAGAGCATTCCAGGCTGAAAGAACAAGTCGTCTGTTGTCCTGGTTCAAACCAGAATCATAAAACCTGGACCTAAGCGAATTTTAGATTCTCTTACCTGAAATAGATGTGTTATATTCTGTTTTTATTATTTTGTTTTCACATATTCTATCTGAGAGGCTTTCTTTCCAGGCACTTAGCTAAGTTTTTACCTGCAAATTGAAAGCAAGGAAAATATTTTTCAGGGCCCCACTGGCTTTTCCAAAAATGATTGACTTTTAAAAAAATAACGTTTCAAACATGTTTTGTTTATACTAGGGCATCTTTCGAATGTTATGTGTCATTTCTTTTACTAGGCTGCTGCAGAAAAGATGGTACAAGCCCTAATGGAAAGAAATTCAGAATTACAGACCCTGCGTCAATATTTAGGAGGGAAAGACTTCATGATGTCCCAAGCACTTATTTCTAAGCAACCAGCTAAAGTTACCTCCATTGGCCTCCACCTTGGAGAACAGCTTGACCAAGTAAGAGCCATTGAAGTGTAGCATGTTTATTCCTGCAGACCATACTCCCTTTTCACATTTGAACTTATATATATAAGTTTGATGACTTTAATGCTAAGTCATGTGAGAATATTCCAAGTCCTTGTCATTATGATTATGGCTCCTGGATCTTCCTAAATTCCTTAACTCTTCCAATTTTTAGGGTTCAATGCAGATACCTTCCAAAGATGATAACGCTTCTTTGACTGCTAAAGGAGATTCCAGCATACCCAGGTCCACCTTAGGTATGTATCAAATTTCATTTTACAAAGGAATCTTCTGTCTTTCTGTTCTGTAACTCTGTTAGTGGTTTGGTTAAAGTACTTCAGTCTTTCTTTCCTTAACCTTCATTTGAAAATGTAAGTTTGTGTTTACCTGACAAGCTGCTGCCATGTCTAGTCTAGGCAGAACCACCCTGACCTTATGTTGAACTGCGGTCAGTATTCTGTAGCCACATGTGACCCAGGAGAATTGCATCTTGACTCTCCTTTGCAGATAGCTTGTAAGGATTCTGAGATGAAGTGGGTAGTGCTCCCAAACCTTGGGATTCATTAGTCCTGCTGTGCAGGATCAGGGAGCTCACACCTTCTCTTGGGGGTCTTTCCAGGCTGGGGCTACTTGCTGTAAATGTATCTCACGTTACACTACAGTAAAATGTTGGGAGGGATAGACAGTTATTTGCCATGTTCAGTATCATATGAGTGACATATCCTTCTCAATACATCCCATCAGGAGCAAATGATGTCAGTTTGTACCATTCTCACTGATAGTGTTTAGTCATTTGGCTCAAGCTGTAGCTGCCATGTTGTTGTTGTTGTTGTTAAGTGCCGTCGAGTCGGTTCCGACCCATAGCGACCCTGTACAGGGTTTCTGAGGGTGTAAATCCTTACGGGAGTAGAAAGCCTCATCTTTCTCCCGCGGAGCTGCTGTTAGTTTCGAACCGCTGACCTTAAGGTTCGCAGCCCGATTCGTAACCACTACGCATATCTCTTCATTATAAAGGTTCATTGTCAGTTTGTGAAGAATAAGTGCTCTTCTGGCTGATATCTTGAGATGCTGACTGCTTTGTTTTCCAACCCAATGGTTTCAGCAACTTTGATTGAAATTTTTCATCAATTAAGTATTGCATTGGTAATTTGACAGAGTCCTTTTTTGTTTCTAAAATTTCTTATTTATTGATTGATGTGCCTCCTTTTACAAGGGAGCACAGTAGCTCTGTAGGATAAGCACTGGCCTTAAAACCACCAGGTTGGCAGGGGTTGGCATTTCTAGCCCACCAGCCACTCTTGGGGAGAAAGGTGAGGCTTTCTGCTCCTGTACAGATTTACAGCCTTGGAAATCCTGCCCAGGGTCACTGTGAGTCGTAACCATCTCAACAGCACTAATAACAACAATCCCTTCTCCTGTACTTTCCCCCATTTGTTTGTTTGTGTCAGTATGGTCTATTGGATTCTTTAATAAATATCATTATATTAACTATTTCTGTCATTATCCTGTGGGACTCCAATTTTGGCCAAACGTGAGCCTCTTCAAGCTGATTCACTGTCTGTTTAGTATGCCTCCCATCTGGTTTTGTCCACATCCAATCCATACTTACAGACATAATAAGATGTTCCATGATCATCTTTCCCCTTCCATGTCTCAGCCCTGGAATGAGCCATTACACTTCCTGGCTCCTTTTGGTGGAGAATAGCATATATGGAAGCCAAGGTCTGGGCATAAGTGCCCATTGTTATAAGGTTGCCATTTGCTTCCAGCACCTATTAAGTGAACGTTGTTGTTAAGTGCTGTTAAATTGGTTCTAATTCATAGCCACCATGTATAGGGTTTCTGAGGAATGGCTTGTGGGTTTGAACCACCATCCTGTGGTATAGTATTGGAAAGTGCCTTCAAAGTAAATTTGTTAGAAGTAAGGTAGCGATTTCTGATGACATTATGTTAATGGTAATAAAAATGTACTTGTGTGTTCTTTTGTAGGAGAGTTGGATACAGTTGCAGGGATGGAAAAAGAACTGAGTAATGCCAAAGAGGAACTTGAACTTATGGCTAAAAAAGAAAGGGAAAGTCGGGTAAGTTTTCTAGCCAAACCTAATTCTAAATTCCTAACGTTTTCTTCCAAAATAGTTTGTATTGAAAAGAGTTTGTATTATATTATCCTAGTATAATATAATTGGGACCAAGTGCAAGGTATTGCCTTTTTGTTTTTAGAGAAGAATATAAATTTCTGTGTATACATGTCTTGGCTCACAGAGAGACTCTTGATTTTATAAACAAGGGTTATTTTGCAGTGCTGCACAACATGGTTTTCTCTACTCATTGCCAAGTGGAATAAAATGATTGTGAAACACCTGTCAAAAGTGAAGTGTTATGTAATTATTGTTTAGAATGATCACATTTGGCCTGTGAACTGAGGGACCTGTGTTGATAGTGCTCACTGCAGTGTGCTATGCTCGGGGCTGAAACCCAGTCAGCGCCAATGCCCACAGCTCTGTGTGAGGTGAATGGTGTTTATAGATGAGAAAACTGAAACACTGATTTTTTTTTTTTTAACATGGGTTTGGGGCAAAGTCATATAGCTATTAATGCCAAAGCTAAGACTTAAGCCCAAGTCTTTAATGACCTCAGACACTGCCTAAGAAGTCAATTCCTTGAACCAAACATTTTCCCCATTCTTATGCTTAAACACTTTCTAGCAATAGCATTTACATCATTGTTCTTAGAAGAGGCCTCTCTGCCTTACAGAATCCCTTCCCTGTCTACCTTTCCTATACAGTCCTGTGTCCTCTCTAATAGAGAACAGAATCTCTTTCCTACCTACTCTTCCTATGCAGTCTGTATCCTCTGATGCAGAAGAAATGCTAGGGCCACTGCATAGGGCTACAGACTATAGCCAGAAACCTTGATGTTTGTTGTCATCTGCTTTAGCTTGTTGTTGTTGTTGTTAAGTGCCGTCGAGTCGGTTCCGACCCATAGCGACCCTGGATGCTTTAGCTTAGCCAGTGCCAATCGTTCCTGAATTGGTTTCTAACTTACCCAGTCTGTCTAAGTCCTCAGTTTTACTTGTGTCCTTTCCATAATTAGATCAGCAGTATAAAACCCATGTTAGACGTAATGGAATTATCATATTGTACCTCTTAATTTCTTTTTTCATTGCTATATTCTTTCTTACAATCAGCCCCATATTATATGAGTCACTTAGTTTTGAGGATATGAGAGTTTGTGGTATTTTAAAAATAGCAGTTTTAAAAGTCCCTTGATAGCCCTCCATATTTTTTTTTTGTTCTACTTTAGTAATTATCTAATTATGCATGCCAAGTATTTAATTTTTCACATATTGTTCCATTTTTCGTATATGTATATATACACACACACAAACACACACACACACACACACTCAGTCCAGAGCACTGTTAGTTTGGGGTTCTGATCTGTATTCAGGATCATAAAATTCTGATTACAGATGAATATTGTGAGTGAGTGATTTAGCTATATTGCTTACCTCTGTGTGTCCTAAATCAACTACCCACCTCTCATTCCAGTGCCTTACATATTTTCACATCTCTTCTAATAGTAGATATTTACCAAAAGCCCTGTATATTTTCCTGTACTTTCAAACATTCTTCCCACTCTCTTGAGATATTCATAACAATAATAGAAATAGTAGTTATAATAGTAGTAGCAGCAATGGCAGTAGCAGCAGTATTTGTACCCATTCATTGATTACCTGGCATTTTAAACGTTTTCTGTAATTCTCATACAGGCCTGCAAAGTAGATATTACTCCCATTTTATGTTTTGAGGAAGCTGAGTTGAATTGCCTTGCCGAAAGAATATGCCAGGATTAAAAACCTATGTGTGCCTCACTGTAGACTTTTATCATACTGTAGTAACTTTCTCCCTCACACTTCCAGTTTTCTTCAGTGGAGCAAATTCTTGGGTATATAGTGATGGAGCTCCCAGAAGAGGGCCAAACAAATAGCACCCCTGAACAAATTGAGAAAAAAAGTCGTGACAGATAGTTTGGTGTAACTCTATCACCGATAGGACTTACAGAGAGAATTTAATTCAAGCCAAGTGGACCTTTTAGCCTAGCCCCAGAATTAAGTAGATATGGAGCTGCAAGATAATGCACTGGACCTCAAGGTTGGTTTGAACTGCAAGGTCAGTGAGTCAAACCCATCAGCCACTCCTTGGAAACCCTATGCAGGATCGCTGTGAGTCAGAACCGACTAGACGGCATTTAACAATAATAACCACATTAAACATTGGGCCTTGGCAGATCACACTGCAGGGTAGAAGAGACTGCCCTTGGAGAAGCAGTAGAGAGAACAGGCTTCCTGCAGACAGCTGTCTCTTAAGAAGGAAGGTGGGGTTAACTCAAGTATGCCTGACTTATTCATCACCCGTTTTCCATTAAGATAAGCCCCTCTACTTCCCCAGGGACTGAGTGAGGAAAAAGCTGAAGAGGGTACAGGGGTTACAGTAATTAAACTCCTTCAACATGGAAGAAAATCCTAGGAGAATCATTTCCTCCTAACATGCCACAGTGACCTAGAACCTCAAATAACTTTGTGTCATTTTAAGTCATCCTAGCCCAGGTAGTGATACTATAAGCATTGATTGAAGGCAAGCCAAAAATCAGATCCACTGCCATCAAGTCAATTCTAACTCATAGAGACCCGATAGAGGAGTTCCAAGACTGTAAATTGCCCAGGAGCAGAAAGCCTCATCTTTCTCCCTTGGTATGGCTGGTGGGTTTGAACTGCCAACCTTGCAGTTACAGTCCAGTTCTTACCCACCAGAGGCGTACAAATAAAATTAAAATTGCTTGTAAGTTAACGTCTTAAACTCGCTAATGTGCTGACTGGCTTTACTTGTCATACTTATTTTATTTTTTTGAATTATTCTAAATCATGTCTTTAAAATATTTACTAACAAATAACTTGTGTTGTTGTTGTTGGTTGTGGTAGTGGTGGTGTGCCGTGGAGTCAGTTCTAACTCATAGTGACTTTGTATAGGGTTTCCAAGGGTGTAAATCTTAGTGGGAGAAGAAAGCCTTTTTTTCCATGGAGCACCTAGTGGTCTTGAACTTCTGATCTTGCCATTAATAGCTCAACACAAAACCCACTATGCTACCTGGGCTCCTTGTTAGGTGCTATCAAGTTGATTTTGACTCGTAGTGACACCATGTGACAGAATAGAGCCTGCCCCTTAGGGTGTGGCCCAGCAGGATACTGCATGGAACTGAAAGGTCAGTTAAACTGCAAGGTTGGCAGTCCAAACACACCAGCCACCCCTTGGAAACTCTATACAGGGTTGCTATGAGTTGAAACCAACTAGACTACATTTAACAATAACAAGAGACTATTTGGAAGACAGGCCTAATGATCTGTTTTCAAAAAGTCACAGCCTTGAAGACTCTGTAGAGCAGTTCTATTCTGCACATATGGGGTCTACATGAATGAGAATGTACTCAACAGCAACAAATATTAACAACACCACCATAAAGACTATATAAATATTTAGTACATATGGTGGGGGGGAATCCAAGCCCATTGTTGAGTCAATTCCCACTCTTAGTGACCCTGTGGGACAGATTAGAACTGCTGTATTACAAGACTGTAAATATCTGCAGAAACAGAATGCCACATCGTCCTTCCATGGAAAGACATTTGGTGTTGTTAGGAGGCATGTGATATTAGATAATCTCTTGTTATGTTAGCAGTTGTTGATGCTCAATACCTATGTCTATTAATTTGTTGTTGTTAAGTGCCGTCAAGTCAGTTCTGACTCATAGTGACCCTGTATAGGATTTCCAAGGAGCAGCTGGTGGGTTTGAACTGTCAACCTTACGATTAGCAGTCCAGTGCTGATCCCACAGTGCCACACCAGGACTGCAATTAGGGATTGCCAAATGGATGTCTTTTCATGCTGTCATTTCTTCATCTATTAACTTCAACACTTTAAAGAAAAAAAAAAATCATCCATTCTTACATTCACTAATTGTGTATAACTACTTAAAATAGCTGAATAAACTCATGAATTAAATGTATCTATTGTGTTGGCACAAGGAGCCTTGGTGGTACAGTAGTTAAGCACTTGGCTGCTAACTGAAAGGTTGGTGGTTTGAACCCACCTCCTCGCTCCACAGAGGGAAGATCTGAAAACCTGTTACCGTAAAGATTACAAATCTACTTTGGCACATGGAGTCATTATGAGTCAGAATCGACTCGACGACACCTAATAACAATACCACTGTGCTGCACAATGCTGCCTCCAATGCAAGACCTCACTAAAAGGTTTAGTACCACACTGGTTTTTGGTTTATTGATTTGATCCAGTTGAGCATTGTTCATGTTCCAGTTTTCAGTTTCTTACTGGCTAATAGTGATATGATCTAGAAAAACATTTTGCCTCAGTGTTAAAACGTAAATGCGACAGATACTTTTTCCTCTCCCCACTAACTTGAGGCTTTCTTCTCCCCACAGATGGAACTTTCTGCTTTGCAGTCCATGGTGGCTGTACAAGAGGAAGAGCTGCAGGTGCAGGCTGCTGATATGGAGTCCCTGACCAGGAACATCCAGATTAAAGAGGACCTCATTAAGGTCTTTCAAAGCTTTTTAAAGACCATTGCAAATGACTGCAGCTCACAGTACCAACAGGGCATCCTCAGCATTTAATCCCTGACTAGTGCTTTTTTTCTTGATGGACTGTTAGTTTGAGTGTCTTAACATCACCATACTCCCTTTAACTTGTTTAATAGTGCGAAGATTTCATAAAAAAATTGTCACTACTGACATTCTACTTGAAATTAGACTATTTCAAAAGCAGTTGCTTCTTTGTTTGAGTCTCTGCTAAATATTATTATTATTTTTATTATTATTGTTTTTTCATTTCTAGGACCTGCAGATGCAACTGGTTGACCCTGAAGACATACCAGCTATGGAACGCCTGACCCAAGAAGTTTTATTACTGAGGGAAAAAGTTGCTTCAGTAGAATCTCAGGGTCAAGAAACTTCAGGAAACCGAAAGCAACAAGTAAGTAGTTGGAATGCACACCTTACTTTTTACTGTGAAATAGACAGTGTCATCTCAGTTATTTCTGAAGTGATCAGTTGATGGTATTTCATGGAGAATCACTGAATTTCCTAGGCTGGCTGGTAGCAGCCAAAGAATATCCTTCTCTGATATTCACAGTCCTGAGGGAGCAGCATTTCTTGGATTCAGTTTTCCCTGTCAACTAAGGCCTTCTTTAACTATACCTGCATTTAGCCACACTCCAACCTCTCCCTGTTTAAATAGGAAGATTAAAAAACAAAACCAAAAACTGCTTCATGCCCAGATTCTTTTGTAACATCCATGTCCAACCTCTCTTGGATGCCAAATTTTTCAAAAAGTCTTAATTAACCTGTAAACTCTTGTCTCCATGATCATCTCTCTCACTGGCTGCTTTTTTCAACTCCAGTCTGGCTTTTAGCCCCAGTGATTCCCGTACACAGATCTCTGTTCTCCAGCACATGTCCTAACACATGGTCTTAAAGCACTTAGCACAGCTCACAGACACACATGACTATGATTGGTCAATGTTTGTTTTCTCCAGTAGACACTGAGTTTATCCTTAGAATCTAGGACAGAGGCTGATTCATACAAGGTGCTCCGTAAGTATTTGTTGAATGAATGAAGAGTACTAGTAAGTGCTATTATTGTTGTTGTTAAGTGCCGTCGAGTTGGTTCCAGCCCATAGACAAATGTATTTCCCTCACATGTGTCCTTCCTCTTTCTCTCCCACCCTTAGCCACTTTGCTGTGCTTCTCCCTTCTCTCTCTCTTTTTACCTCTTCTTACTCTCATGTTTGAATTATGCTTTATGTTGTTGTTGTTGTTAAGTGCCATTGAGTCGATTCCAACCCATAGCGACCCTGTATAGGGTTTCCAAGGAGCAGCTGGTGAGCTTGAACCACCAATCTTGCAGTCCAAACAATTTTGTAGTCTGACACATTAGCCCACAGCGCCATACCAGCACTATATGCTTTATAGGACTTAAAAAAAAAAGTAAGATAATGAATGTGGCATTGATTTGAAAACTTTAAAATATTATAAAAAGCTTACAAAATAATAAGGGTGTGGACTTTTTCAAACTCATTCCATGCTAATGCCTTCTTTTACTCTTGTCTTCTCAGGATTAACTGCAGCTTCATGTCTCAATTTACCCAAAAGCCTGTTGCATTTTCTTTCCTCTTTTTCCAGTTGCTGCTGATGCTGGAAGGACTGGTAGATGAACGGAGTCGTCTCAATGAGGCATTACAAGCAGAGAGACAGCTCTATAGCAGTCTGGTGAAATTCCATGCCCATCCGGAGAGGTGAGAGAGAGATTGTACTGCTTTTCCTCTTATTCTTCATCGAGTACAGCTGCTTATGAAACTGGAGGGTGGAGTATAAGGAAGCAGAAACAGTGCTAGAGCTCCCCACTTTTTTCATTTAGCGTGAGCCTCAGTGTCTAAATCTTAAATGAAGACTAAAACCTAGTTACGTAGCTAGAACACTGATGAAATGAGGAGGTCTAAATCGATGTGTGGCATGTGATAAGCACTTAGTGTGTGTCCCTTACTTTCCTCTGCTCCTGTTGATCACGGTTATACTGTAAGAGTAAGGCTGTAAATGGTGCTGGTAGTCATTCCATAGCCGTGAGCCTGCAGTGATACTAAACAGCATGGTGGCTCTTGGAACTCTTGACTTTTTAGTCATCTATGACTTATCTTTCTGCTTTGTTTTATACTCCCTTCGTTTTTTTCCCCTCAGTTGGCCTTCCCTTTTGGCCCCCTTTTTAAAATTTCTATTCTTTTACCATTCAGTTCTTGTAGCTTATTGTTAATTTATTTTTCTTTCTAACTCAAGAAAATGAAGACAGAGGAAAGGTATCATAAGACCACCTGATTTTGTTAGTTTTTAAATGTCTTAGTCTCTGGAAAGGAGCTCTGGTAGCATAATGGTTATGAGTCGGGCTGCTAACCTCAAGGTCAGCAGTTCGAAACTACCAGTGGTACTGCAGGAGAAAGATGAGGCTTTCTGTTCCTATAAAGATTTACAGCCTCGGAAACCCTACACGGGGTTGCTATGAGTTGGAACCGACTCCACAGCATACCAACACACACACAGAGTCTCTGTAAACCAGATTCCTTTCCAGAGCTCTGTCTAGTTTGTTCACAAAGAGAAAGCAGATACCTTCAGTGGTAGTACTCCTTGGTTCAGTCTTGCTTCTGTTTGCATTATGTTCTTTTAGGATTTTAAAAAAGTAAAGCTCTTCTTCATCAAATAATGAAATTCTTCAGTAAACTATCCAGGTGTGAGGTAAACCGTAGGCTCTGTACTTGTTTGTGAGGTTGACTTGGGATCTGTCATAAAGGGGCAAGTGTAAAGTAAGGAGTGGACCTTCCTAAGCTACCAGCAGTGAACACACGTGCTGGGACATTTGTGTTCTGGGGAACATTAGTGTGTCAAGGAGAACAGTTCCTTTACAAAGCCTGGCAGCAAAGAGGGGCATTGGTGGCTCTTTGGAAACATGTGTGGACTCATGACAGTTGATTGCTAATCAATTTTCCTTCCATGTGGCATGTTTAATCAGCTCTGAGAGAGACCGAACTCTGCAGGTGGAACTGGAAGGGGCCCAGGTGTTACGCGGCCGGCTAGAAGAAGTTCTTGGAAGAAGCCTGGAACGCTTAAGCAGGCTGGAGACCCTGGCCGCCATTGGAGGTGGGGCACTGGAAAGTGTGCGAGGTCTTCACAAGCATGGCTTCTGAGCACTGGCGGGTCAGACTGCAGCCCAGGATGGAAAACCCTGTGTGCACTAACCAGAGAGAGCCTTGTCTGTCTTTGGGCAGAGCTCACTGTGTGACTTAACTAATGCTAGAACTGGTACAAGTAGCGTCTAACACGAAGTGACACTCACTTTAGACTTCAGCATCTCACTGTACGTATCTCCCTCTACACTGAGTGATGGAGGCTGCAAAGTGAATTTGCCATTTTAAGTCATTCGGTTTTAGCTCTCCCACCCATATTCATCCTTCTCCCTTCTCATTCTCTCACCCCTTCTGTGGGCCAATAAAGTTTATTCCTCCCCAACTTCCATAATCTATTTCATATGTTGCAATATCATGTCACAAGTGCATGTGTGTGTATTATTTTTGTCATTCAGTTAACTCCTGCTCTTTGAATGAGAGCATTTAAAAAAAAAAAAAAAATCAAATCAACTTTCAAGAAAAGAGAGATTGAGAATTCATAGGAAGACTTGGGAAAGTGGTATCATCCTTATCAGCAGTTTGTCAAGACTGAGAGAGAAGTCTTACAATAGTAGATGATAAGAATTGGGAGGGCCCAGGAAAGAACAGAGGCAAAGCAAGACTTTTTAAGTGCATTTAGTAAATGTTTACCTCTGATAGACTGTTTCATAGTTGATTATTGAATGACAAAGATGAGTCAGCTTAGGTGCAGATTAATTTTCACTTTGAAATCTTTCTGTGAACCCTTTAGATTTCTTTAAACCAAACAAGCATGCTATAGTTAGTCTGAATAAGACTTAAAAGAAAGCTTCCAAATCTTTCAGAGTATGAAATAGCTAGATATTAAGATAATTTCAAATATAATATCCCCAACTTGAAATATAATATTTCACCAAATAACTCATTATAGCCAGACTCTGCACCCTTCCGTGTGCCTCTGCTTATATTGCTTACCTACTTCCACTTGATTTCATGTAAGCAATAATTTAGTGCTGTTAACTCCATATGGAAGTAAGTGACAGGCTTCAGACTTGGATGTGTAGAATAGTTTAGAAAGAACTCTGGTCACAGATGTGTGTTCTTGTGGCAACATAACAGGTACAAGGATAGGTGTGCTGAAGATTGTATTTCTAGTGTTGTGTATGTCAAGAGTATGAAAAAGTAGCCAAGATTCCCTTGCAACTTTGTAGGTACAACACCATGAGTTTTCTTATTTCTGCTAGAATGGCTTAGGAATGGAGATTTCAGTTACTTTTTAAACATGGAATTTGGGAGACAGATGGAGGCTTGCTAGCATTGTAAATACGATTAAGTACCCTTTCTAAACAAGATAAGGTACAGAGATTTTTCCTTTCCCTTCCATTTTTCACATGGCGCTTTTCTTTCTTTCACATTCATGTGTTGGCATGGCTTGTGTTGCATTTTAAAGCCCGCCCAAGTTCCTGTAACCTTAGCTGTACCTGTAACAGAGTCTCAGTTAAACCAGAGTAGACAGGGAAGAAGATGTTACATTGGAGAACTGCTGTAGTATTGAGTGTGGTAACACCAAGCCATCTTCTTAATGGGTACACCACTCCAGTTGTATTGGTCTCTGAGGGAAGAAAGGGTCATTTAAGGAGTGAGAAGGGCCGGCAGAACCATCCAGTTTTCTTAGTCTTACAATTCTGAGACCTTTCCTGCACAAAATATTTTATAACCTTCCAGAAGTCACAAGGAGGATAGTCGTGCTATAAAAATGTCAACCCACTAAAGACTAGTCTGGGGTGTCATGGTATGGTGCTTTAAAATAAGTACTGGACCACAAGGTTGCTTTGAGCCATAAGGTCATCAGTTCAAACTCAATCAGCCTCTTCTCAGAAACCCTATACAGGGTTTGAGTCAGAACTGACTTCATGGCACTTAACAATGACAACAAATGGGTCATTACAAGAGGTCATTTAGGAAATGTCTCTCTTAAGTTTTCCTAGTAGACCAAGGAAGCTTTCTAAATCTTGGGTGCTAATGGTTCATAATAATTAGAGTAATTTATGTTAATGACCACTTCTGTGGATCTCCAACAAGAGTGGGAATAGGTATCTTGAACTGTTGCTAAGTGTTAGAAATATTAATGTAGTTTGATAATAAATGGATTAGAAAAACAAGTAAGTGAATTCTGACCCTTATTTGGGCTCTGAAAAGACATACTAATTTGTGCTTTAGTTATATGCATCAATGCCATAGTTGATGTTATGACTTAGGAAACATTGTAAACATTGAGTGATTTAGTGACAACAGCTAAGTTAATATTTGATCTTGGTACAGTAGATGTGACTGAAATCTGCTACTAACCCTCTGGTCTTGATGGCTGGAATGAGATTTGAAAGGAATGCTACCTGGACAAATCTTTCTGCTCAAACAGTATTGTGTGATGATTGACATCTGATCAGAGAACATACTTCTGATGAATTTTGTTCTTTGGCCCACAGATAAATGATATAATTGGATACATCATTTATGCGATCCTTTTTGGCATGATATAATATATAATTACATTCTCTTTGCAGGGGCACAGAGCCTTTTTCTTACTGGGTGAATCTGCCTTTGTTACACAATTTTCTACCTGGCAATAGCCTTAGATAAAGCATTTTGTGCATCCAGTATCTTATGTTTGAATTAGAAACTTTGAAAGAAAGTGAATGAGTTAAACCCTTCCTCAGGCCCTGCTTACTTAGAAGTCTGGAAGTTTCATTGAGAAAACATCATATTGAGAAGTTCCATTTTTCTCATAATCCTTTTCCAAACAATAACAGAGGCATTGAGTAATGGTGGTAACAGGGCAGGGTAGATGCAAGCTGTAGTTCATAGAACTATACAGTTACATAGGGCTCCCCCAAGAGGATGTATTGAATGAATGAAATGAAATGGAAGTCTTTTGACAAACATTTCCCCTATTTTCTACTGCAAGTGTACACCGTATTAAAATCTGATGATTAGTAGTGCCTACTGTAAGTCAGCATATGTTCAAATATATATTGAAAAACCTTAATTGGACTTTTAAAAATGATTGCCTTTCTCTTTGACAGGGTGTTCCCTTTGTCTCTACATCCTCCCTTCTTTCCTCATACCTGTCTTTCTTTTTTCACTTATGGGCAGAAGTAGCATTTTTAGTGTGGCGCTGTAGGATCAGCAATGGACTGCAAACCACTAGGTCAGTGGTTCAAGCCCACCAGCTGCTCCTTGGAAACCCTACAAGTTGAGTTGGCTTTGAGTTGGCTCTGATTCGGTGGCACTTAGCAACAACAGAATTCAAAAGTAAAAATTTTCTCGTTCATACTTCAAAAATATGTTTCCATTACTTTATACATAGTGAATATTGTTCAATGATCAAGAATCTTAACATGTATAGGATGTCAAATCCTTGCCAGAAGTGGTCCCTGGGAGACCCTAGTATCTTCTATTGCACAGTGTATACATCAGTGACTTCTGTGAAAGATAGACATAAAAGATCTGGTATTTTAATGCATTTGTCCCCTTCTAATTCAGTATCTGGTGTGGTGCTGTAGGATGAGCACTGGACTACTAACGTCAAGGTTGGCAGTTCAAGCCCACCAGCCACTCTTTGAAAACCCTATACAGAGTCACTATGAGTCAGAATCAACTCGACGGCGCTTAAGAAAGTTAATATTAATTGAGATTTATACGAACCACAAACCTCTACTAGAGAAAGAATGAATGAAGTACACTTTCTTTTTCAGATATTAACATCCTGTGAAGTGTAAGCTCATAGAGTATTTCCTCTCATTTCTTTTGAAGTCCAAAGGGCTGTTCTTTTCTGTTTGGTAGTACTAACTTTATAGAGGTATTTATACTGTAGAAAGAAGAGCCAGCTCATGTAAGGCAGCCCAATTAAAGAAAAACAAAACAATAATAATAAAAAAAAAAACAGAAGGAATATCAAGATGACAGTACATTGGAAATAATTTTGTAGTTACTAGTTTCTGAATCAATTTATTTTGGAATATGGATTTAAGTCATCTCATCAGCCATTTGTAGCAACAGCTATGTTAAACAAGTAAACAAGTTACTCTGAAAAGTCTTAGTGTTGACAGAAGATAAGTCCTCAACTTCTTTCTGTATAATCAGCCACATAAGCCTGAGAAGTTTCCCAAGTGAAAAAAACTTTAACATCATCGTTTGTCTCCAACAAAAGATGGGAAGTGGAGGGAAAGACAGATATACAGTTGACATTATTAATTTTACATCAGATTTCAAATAATTAAACTGATAAAATGATTGATAAGTTGTTTTACTTTCCCTTTTTGTGGTTTAAAGTCAAGTCTCAGAAATTCTATCATACTGCTTTCCTCTTGTTAAAGCTGTGAGGCAAAATTAGGAAGTTCAGCAGCCTTGGAAACTGTTGTGTGCAAAGAGTAGGGATGTTTAAGAACTGATTGTCTAGAAAACACTTGTAATATGGTTTTAGTATACATTGCTTCCTTGTGCAATTACCAGAGTCATTGGTCTCAAGCATTTAGCCTCTCTTAATCTGTAAACTTTAGTGGTATGTGTATTTATAAGTATGTTTTATAAATCATGAATTTTTATCTGTTGCAGTGAGGAATTTCTATCTGTTTCAGTTTGATAATAAAAGCAGTTTTACCTGCTTTTGTCACTTATGATATTGACCTTGGGCTATTGCCAAAAATTCAAGTGATTGTTTAACAACTTCAGATGAAGAAGTGACATGTTAGATGATCGAGAAACTGGCCATTAGATTCTTCCCAGGACTGCCTCCCACCAAAATAAGCTGTATGTTTTTAATCTGGAAGTTCATTTCTTCATGGCACTGTGCTGCTGTGTTAAAATGTGTAAACATTGGTGCTGGAAAACAGCATGTACTTTTTCTTATATACATATATAAGTATTAGAATTTCAGCTACTCCAGTTGAGAGACGAAAAATTGTCTTGCTGATCCAATAAAAGTATCAAAGGCTA